TTTTTGCAAGCATTATTGAATGTTTCATAATTGACAGTTTGGGTGATGTCTTCAAAACCATTAAAAATACAAGCCTTTGATCTTTCAGCTTGCCAAGTCACTAAAAGTCGGTTGCTACATAAAGTAGCCCCGTCTCGTTGTAGATAAGAAAATTGGAAGGGAAAGGGTTTCTCATCCGGAATTTTTAAAATTGGGGTGATAAAGACAGAAACGTTGAAAACTTCAGTAATCAGCAGACGACACTATTGAGTGGGGGTTGTCGGACGGGAGGTGCATTTGGAATATACGATGCTTATTGAATTTACACGAATTTCTCAATGGATACTCATTTACTCACTGGAGAGAGAGAGGGCTACTTTTTCTCTTATCGTAGTTAAGAAAGGCGTAACACTAGATCAGTATTTATTTATTAATTATTATTTATTAAACTAATGCAAGTCTTAAAGATGCAAGCAGAGTGATGGAAACTTTAGATGACTGTCGAATCGGTTGAAGTTCAAGATTTAAGGATGGTTTCTAAAATTTCAGTGAAGTTTTTGGTTTAATAGGGCTTAAGATAAGCAATGAAGCGTGAAGAGAGAAGAGGTGAGAGGGGAGGGTCTTTGGTGCTTGTCAGAAGGCGATGACAGAATTTTGCTTTTAAAAGAGGTTTACGGGAACGGTAGACTGAAAAAGGCCGAGAAATATCGTTGTAGATGAAAGTTGGCGTGCTATTTTTTCTCGCTCCCTGGTGGTGGAGTTTTTTTCCGCCAGAAACTTTTCTACCAAAAAGCAGATTCTTGAAGCGTACTCATTTGTGTCCGCTTTTTTCACGTTTTCTAGAAAAGAGTAGGGTTTTTGAACACAAGTTATTTGCTTAGACTTGAAAATGTGCACTCTTTGTTATGCAGGCGGAAACAATTCAAATGGAAACGGAGGGGGTTAATCACTAATTAATTTTAAATACTGAAATTAAACATTAGAATGCGGTTTTATATCTAATAATAGCTGAATCTGAGTGAGTAGTCGTTCGGAAGTTGCAGCGGTTTGGCATCAGGAAAGAACATTTACTTTAACGTATCTACTGGAAAAATTCTTGGCAACAGTTGGTCAAATTATCATTATCGCTACCGCCACTTCAAGAAGGGTTCAGAAAGAGAAGAATTTATTTTAAAAAAAGCATTGTAAGGTTAAAATTCTAGTCTAAACAAAATTTTTTTGGATAGGAGGAATGAGGTGAAATAAAGTGAAGCATAGATTTAGCAGTTTGGGTTCTGTTCATCCTGACAAATCCACAAAGTTTTTAGTTTTGTGGCCCCAATTTCTTTTTGACCAATCAAGCCAAACGACGGGGACCGTGCGAGTGTGCCTCTGTTTTATTAATAACTAATAATAGCGATGGGACTATCAAACTAAAACAAAATTTTTTACTCTTTCTTTATTTTATGTCATATGTGATATATGAATACTATAAGGCTGAAATTGGATGAACAGATGCGGCAGTAGCTACAGTGAAAAACTTGGAGAATGGAAAGCGAAGGTCGAGGGTTTGTCGCCTTAGATGAAGCGTTACTTGAACTCACCATTATTGCAAATAAGAAAAAAGATATTGTATTTACAAGGTTGTTTATGTTGTAATAAATGATGTGTCAAGGCGGAACGTGTATTAAATACAATGATCTGCTTTTCCAACAAGTTTTGCTGGATAAGCTGCCTTCATGACACCTTATGGCTATAACGTTTGCCAGCGTTTTGCGAACGTTTGGTTTGTATTCTGTTATCTTTCAACATGTTTTATCTTTTTTTTCATATCATATCCAAATTACTTTTGACAGAGATAGATCAGGATAAACGTGTTGCAAATGAGCAATATTGGACATCGGTCAGTGTCAATTAGGCCTAAACTTTGTAAATAGTGACTTTTTTGCAACAAATATTATTTTTCCGTTGTGTAATGCCATTAATTTTTTTACAGATTTGAAATTTACGTTTATATTTTATGAATTTTAGTCAAATAAAAGATGTTTAAGATGTCTACTTTGTTTATTTTCTTACTCATATACGTTAGCAGATTGTGCAGCAGATCTCTTTGTTCTAGTGATATAAGAGTGGCGTTATGATCACTGCTTTATGCAGTCGCATGTTGCTTTCATAGATCATAAAAAATCATAATTTTGGATTGCATTTCTGCCAAAACTCACGAATCTTCTTAACCACTAAATTTAGTGGTTAAGAGGATTTCTGGATTTTTGAAACATGAAACGAACAAAAAAAAGGAAAGCAAAAAGAAATGAAGTAAGGTAGTCTTTATTTATTTAATGATTTTTGTTCAACTGAATACATCTTTTGCGCAAATTTTATTTTATTAAATAGGACGGGATTTAAAAAAAAATTTTTTTCGGTGAAGGATAATAAGAGCATGAATAATTGAAAGTGTTGAAAAATTTTCCTGTTGAAAAAATTTAGTTTGATCAGGACCATAAACAGAAGAAGATGTGTCAGTTCTAGGATGGTAAAATTGTTGATCTGAGATTTTAATGGTATTATCAACAAATAAACAAACAAAGCTGTCTACTGCAGTATGTCTGTCGTTTCACTGTATCAATCTGAAATAAAACTGAGCCACCTGGTTTGCCGGTACACCAACCAACAGTAGAAACGTTTTATTTTTATCCGTTACTATAGATACATTTCTGCAATTTTCTATTCTAATATGTTTCGGTTTTTCTCCGCTTGTGTCAGGAACTCTATTATTGAGGCTGCTTCTACACTGCTGATTTGATGAAAAAAAGATGGGTTTTTTTTATTTAAAATTAACCGCTGTTTTCTGGTCAAAAACATTTTCAGTTATACAAAGTTATTTCAAATTTTTTTTGTTGGTTAGAAATAATCTTTACTTTCAAAACTTACTGTTCTGATGCTAGATATTCTGTACCAGATGACACTCCACAAATTTAGGAACAATTGAAAGTTGCTATACAATTCCTTACTTTTCAATCATGTCGATCAGAGTCTATGATGGAGTTATGTTTATACGATCAACGGATGCTAATAATACACAGTAGCTATGTTGTTTGAAATAACTCGGACTGTTGAAATAATGAACAAAATTTTTTTCTATCTTTAGTTGTCAGATTGTACAGCTGAAAAAGATGTTAATAGGATTTTGTTTTATAACTCTAAATTTGTTGGCAGTAAAGCGTTTATAAATTTTCTTATTATTTTTGTAGAATCTGTAGATAATTTTTAAAGACATAATAGTTAAAAATTTTTGAAGTAAGTAGTAATAATTATAGCGAAAGGTTTAATAAATAAAAAAACTTATCTTATTTGAATAAGCAAAAAAAAATGCGGATTTTTTACTAAACCAACAAAGACACTTTTCTGACTTTCTGTTGCACTATTTTTCGTTGACGTTGTTCTTAATTTATCTCCTTAGCGTAAGTACGGTTAAAAGACATCAAAATCATAAGCGATTTAGACGAAGAAGAAACGAATAAGTCACCAAAAAAAGACAATGAAAATCCTATACTGCATTCTGTTGATACTGGAAGAATTTGTATTAGGCAAGTGTTGATTTATAATTTCTTAAACGTCATAGTTTCGTTTAAGTTCATATTATAAATAAAAATTTGTAGATCAATAAATGTTTTTTGAATAGGCATTTATATTTTAGACTAGAATAGAACAATGAACAATTTTTTGACAATTACAAATTACTTTTTATAGTTTCAGTTATGTTAGCACCTTGGTAACAGTGTTATCGTTTAGGAAAAGAGATTCTTCTGACATCTGTTT